CGCCGGGCCTGCCCGCGCCGCTGCCTGACAGAAAACAGCCAGCAGCCCCGCCCCTCTGTCCTCGCGCCGCGCCGGTGCCCGGTGAGGAGCGGAACTCCTTCATCTTACCTCAGGATTCGGATTAGGTGTAGGTTAGGAGTCTCGACTGATGCTGTACAGAGACATGCTTTAAAGAATGCAGGGCTCGACGCAGTACCTCCCTTCCCTCCCCCTCCAACGTATAGGCACATACATTTACAGCTTCCAGTGTTGATCGGGATTCAAAATTTCTATTTACAGGGCAGAAAAACATTAGGTCCTGTGAGCGTTATACTTCAGAAAGCTCAAACTCAAAATGCTGCAGTCTTGGATAATGGAAAACGATGAAGAAGGAAGGCCCTACTGCATTAGAAGGAAACCAGTCCGTTAACAGATGGTAACTAGTCATCCCTTTAGGTACAACATCGCCTTACAGGTACAGACACTTGTACTATAAGCAAACGGTTTAAATAATGAGACAAAATGGCAGGCCTTCAAGAAGTTGTTGACAACAACCCTTTAACTCACACTGTTTAATAGTACAAGCAAGGTACAGTCATTTCTCTCCATTGCAACTGGCTAATGTAGAATCAAGATGACATTTCTGCACTGTTCCATTTTGTACACTGGCAAATTCAGGCCAAGGGAGATGGACATGTTCAGCAAACTGAGAAAAAGCAAATGTAATGGAAATACAAGCACAATCAATTTTAGATATGTGAAAAAAACAGTGAAAAATCAACAAGCAATGATGTAGTCTTTCAAAATAAGGTGGCTTTTTTTCCTTAAGGGTGCCTCTACAGGATCTTCAGAATCCTAAACGTAGAAATGACAGTCCAAAACCAAAAGAGAAGATGGTATCAATTTCTCTTTAAAAATAGGAACAACATCGAGCCCTTTACCAAAAATAGTTTATTGCACAAAACTTTTCAAGGAATTCCTATGCACATTTTTTATAACCAACATGCTTTGTATGATCATAAACATTAATTGTACATAGTGTAACTCCTCCATGCCCTCATCCCGCAAGAACATGAAATGATTAACTTCTGTCTTTACAAATACAGCCTAGGCAGACAATACTGGATGTCATGTATAAAACATAACAGTATTTCTTTTACAATATCCAGAAGATCTTTCCAGCCCTAGAAATCTGTGCATCTATTGGAAATTAGGCTGCCCTACTGCCCAAGACTGAAGTGTTACACATTAGTAGGAGACAAGAGTGATCAGATGACAGCTGATGAGCATTAGTAATTACTTTGGACTGTAATTGCTTTCACATGAAAATATTTAAAGGCCTGGTCACAGCAAGTCACATGCAACTATTCACACTTCCCCGGCAAAGTTAGTAAAACATAGATCACAAGCTTTTGCATCACCAGTAGTGAATTTGTCATCTTTAAGTTAAATTTATATTGATAATACTATCTGTCCCCATTGCACCTTTAATGTTGTCATAGCTAACATTAGAACATCCATGCCACTGCAGCTCACTCCTCTAAGGAGGAATAAGTAATCCATGAAAATATGAGCACTAGAACTTCCATTCTGGATATTACTCTAGTCTTTACATATGTGAAATTCTCAAAGATTTCAGCTAGGATATTGCCTGAACAAACAGTATGAGATCAGATCCTCCCATTGCATGAGTGGATAAGGGGCTCAGCTGATCCCAATACAGCGCACAAATATTTCCAAGAAATCTGGAAGACAATAGAACGGAGCATTATGCAATGTTCAGCAACACCAGAGACTCAGTAACTAACTTTTTTCCCCATTGTAGGGTTTGCTGCGTTTTTGTTGTGGTGTTTTTTTGTTTGGTTGGTTTTTTGGTTTTTTTTTTTTTTTTAAAGCACAATTATTCAAGAGTCCTCAAAAACCCGGTGGCATCTGAAAAAAATAATGCTGCAGCATTTACCAACTTTCATCGCTTGGGAAACACTCTCGCATTACAGTGTCATTTCTCCTTCATCAACAAGACTTGGTTTAGTGGGTAACAACCACTGAAGAAACACACAAGGAAAATACATTCTATTGCAGTGCTTGAATAAGGAAAAAAAAAAAATCTTTAAAGAGACTATTCTTCAGATTTTCCTACCATATATTTGGCAGTGCTGTAACAGGCAGAGGTGAGGCAGTTCTCAGTCCTACAACTAGTTTGTTTTATTGCCTAGAGAGCAGAGAGCTGAAGCTTTGTAGAGCAAGCATACTCAGCCTCAGGGTGAGGCTTTTTAATAAAACAGCAACTATTTCTCTGGATAATTAAGAAACACAGCTGATGAGTTTCAAAGAAAAGGCCTTGCTTTTATCACATGCTGGTTGCTCCTTCTAGAACATTTCCCAGTGACTTCTGTAACTTAATTGATTTAGTACCTCACCAGATTTAAACCCTCAAGTCTTACTGTCTGTCCTTCATTTAAGTAAATGGCATGGTACTCCTGCTTATAGGAAAAACACATGGTGAATATAAAATGAAAACACCTATTGCCCAGGTACTTTCAGAAAGAGATGCATGGATCAGTGCAGACATCTAATCTGAGCACTTCCCAATGGCTCCCTCATCCTTAAAAGGAAAAACATGCATTTATGACCACTTGATTATATAAGCTCAGATGTCTTTAAAAGGAGCTAGTGAGAAAATGCAGCACTGCACTGAAAACAGAGTGCAGGATGATTACTGGTACAAAATAAGAGAGCAGATATTCTGAAGAACTATGAAGGTTTCTAACAATTCCAGCTTCTTTGATACTAGATAAAACCTTTATCCATACAACTGTGGCCAAACTTAAGAGATTAAAGCATAATGGATTCTTAACTGTAGGCAATGTACTTACTAACACGAACAGCAACATTAACGCTGCACAAGTGTTACTTTATTTAAAATCCTGAACATTTGATAACTTTTTTTGTACTGAATATATTATACATTACGCAGTTTTAATTTTGTTCTTTAACAATACTGCATTTTTTTTTCTTCTTTGAGCTTAATATATAGGCAACTTCAAGAACACAACAGCAGCGTGATAATCAGTACCATTTACACTGCAAAGTAGACTGCAGCAGTATGCGGACATTAGCATGTCTCAGTCAGTGAGTAAAGCTTTTGACTTTTCTTTGAATTGTTTGGTAATTCTGTATAATGGGCACCTAATGCTACACTAATGCATTTCTTCCTTCACCAATTTCAAAACCTTAACTTTTAGCATTACTTGACTTTGACCCCAATAAAATGTAAGTTAAAATCCAGTAGCTGAGGGGCATGAAATCAGTCAGTATAGACACTTGAAATGCAAAGTGTCCAACTGGACTAGAGCTTGAATTGGTAATTGTAAGAACTCAGACTTGGGATAAATATGGGTGGGTTTGGATTTTTTGTTTGTTTGTCTGCAGTTTGCTTAAAATAAGCAATCACACACACACACACCCCCACCCCCAATAACCAAACGCATCCAAAACCAGGAACAGTTTCTTTGGAAAAATAGATGGACTAGAATTTTTGGTTTTTCCCCAGCCACTTAATCTACTTGTACTTTTTTTTTTTTTTAAAACACTAAACTATAATGGATACAATGGGCCTGTTTTCTTTACATCTTAAAGACATGAGTTGCCACTAAATCCTCCAAATAATCCATCACATCTATTTTGATTTGTGCTTTAGCACTTAGCACATTAGGCGAAGCAATATCTCCACAAGGAATTTTTGAATGAGCAGAGGGTGGGCTTATCACTGCAGTATGAGCCACGTGGCGCAACAGGACCAAAGGTGAAGGAATCTAAAGTGGGCTGCTTTAATAATAGTCTCGCCAAGGTGCTCTGCAGAGGGGCTGCCACAGTACCACTATTTCCATTCATGGTGGATAACTTGTCATAGAGGGTGCAAAAAGTAGGGGAAGTGTGTAGGAGAAGATAAAGCTAATAAAAATAATAACTTTATAGGCATTATAATTTTGTCTTTTCAAGAAAATAATTACGTTTCTAAAAGCTCTGGCTTTAGGTGCTAATTTCCCTAAGCCATTTGTACAGAATGACAAAAAACAGTGAACTTAAATGTAACATTAAAACAATGACAGTAACAAAAACCCCTCATGTCAGCCTTAGCTTGCAGTATATAAGCATATTAAAACAGATATTCAAAATCAGAAAATTTTGATTTTTTTTCTCATATATATATATATATATTACACGCATACCTTTTTCAAGGGTGTCTACTTCAAAAGTTGAACTAAAAAGGTGCAAGAAGTGTTTGTGCAGTGAAGCAAAGCTCCCTACTGGCCTGCAACTGTAAGAGAAAAACTGATACATACTGGTCTGCATTGCTTGTCTTTACAGTCGTGTTTCTTTTGCTATAGGTCAGAGGTCATCTTCATAACTAGAAATGGCTTTAAATGAATTTTTTTTTCTTTAAATAGAGATACCTGTAATCTGAATTTCAAGATTAAGAGGTTATAGGAGGGAGGAGAGAGGATGCTCAGAATATCCAGTTCTCAGCCACAGCTAATGGCTGAACATGAGCAGAACTTATTTTTCCCTGTGATTTGGATACAACCCAAGATGGGGGAAAACAACACCCACCCCACCCCCAAAAACACACCAAATCCCAGATGTTACATAATTAACAGTCATTCCTTAACAAACTCACACAGATTGAACAAATACAGACCTGGAACCAGATGGTCCTCTCTTGACCTTATTTTAAACCTTCAGCTGAATCTCTTACTAAACCCCAAAATGAGCTAGATTTACCACTTGGCAGTCCCCAACATAACAGAATTATTATGGTAAGGTTTCAAACCAACCCTTGGAATAGCATGTTCTGCATTTAATATCACACCAATTTCTCAAAACCATGTCCTTTGCTTCTACAGGCAAAAGCACAACTCTGAACACCATTTTAAAAAATGAAATAAATAAATAATTTTGATAAAGATTTGTTTACATACTTAAAGCAACAGGAAGAAAGACAACTGATGAGGAGGTTATAGTGTCAAAGCTTCCTTGTCACTAACACTACAATTCTGTTTCTTTTCATCTACAGTAAGAACCTCCTGCTGGTCTGATGCAGTTGCAGGACTCGTAGAGGTAAGGTCCATTAGCTGCCCCTCAATCTGAGTCCACGAAGACATTGATTCATGTACAGTAATGGTGTGTTCCTCCATCTGACGCTGAAGGCTGTCCATTTCTTGCCTTTTGAAAGTATTGAGAACAAAAAAGCAAAAATTAACAAGCAGGAAGCTAACTGCTAAATGCAAGATGAGAAAATTACTTTTCTGATTCTTGATACCTACTTTAATACTGTCTAAGCTATAGCTGTATATAAGAGAAAAAAATGTCTACAGGAAGCTTAGGAACTACCTTTCTTAAATTAAAGAGCAAAACAAATACAATATGCTTAATCCAAAACCAAGGGCCAACAATGCAGCAGCTCCTTTGCTGCACATACTCATTGCCAGGGATGACGCAGCACTGTTTCCTCAATAAACACACTTAGTGTCTGCAACCTGATGAACGTGGTACTCTTGCAGGTATTAAAGACAACATGGGAGGTAGAGGTGAGGAAGGCAGCACAGAAAAATAACTAGATAAACACATTTGGCCTTTAGTCAGACACTAACATAGCAAAGTGACTAGTCCGGTAGTACAGGATCACAGAACATTATCACAGGCTCATTCCCCTCAAACATCAACTGAGGTGATAACAGCAGCTCAGTTCTCCTAATAACCTGAACTCCCTGTCTCCCTCAAGTTGTAGCTTTCCTGCTCAGAATCTCATATGCAATCTTGTAAGGGAAGATTTGAAAACATTTTTGGCAAAATGAACTTCCTCTGCAGAGATTTCTTATTAACACACTGCCTGGGCTCCTCTCACGAGCAGTCTTTCTGATGCTGTGAAGAAACACCAGCTTTTCTACCAGCAAGAACAACCAGAAATAGCTGTTTCTGTTTTGTTTGGCTGTGTATGATTTAGGATGGACATTTCATCTAGTTTATTCCCTATCTCATTACCATATAAGCAAGCACAGGACATACTACTGTCCTAAATATAGTCCCAATAAGAGGAGAAGAATTCATTTTACAGATGCTTTTTTTCTTAGACTCGCAGCTGATTTCTTGGAAAGATTTTTAAGATTATTTAATATGGTTGAAGATAACAAGTCATACTTTAATTGCTGGAGACAGCTGTTCAGATTTTTTAAAGGCTCCTTGCTCACAGCTGTCGATGGTTTCAACAGTTCTTCCAGCAAGGCAGCAGGCACTGGACAGTCAGGAATCTTGACTGGAGTCACAGGATTTGAAGAGTTATTCTCTCCTTTCAGTTCCTTCCTCTGGTTAAAGGAAAAGACGAAGAGCAGAAATACAATTAAGTGATTTCATCAATGTTATTTTTACCACATAGGAAGTGTCTCACATCACACTACTGGTACATATCTGCATTATAAAGCAACAATCAGAAGCACATTCATGTTAAGTCTCATGGGTCACAAGCAAAAGTTCCTAACCTAATGTCATCTGCTAGCCATGCTCTTAAGTAAACAAACAGCATCTAGACAGACCTACTCAACAACTCAACCTACTAAAGAAATAAAACAGGAAGGATTTAAAGCAAATGACTTGGATCTTCACAATAGATTTTAGTAACATTCTTTCAGTATAGTTAAGGGAACAACTCAGAAAAAAACTAAATCAGTTAAGTACAATCAAAGAAATCCTTTTGGAAATTCTGGAACCTGCAGGATGAGGTATCAGGACCAATGTCTAAAAGAATGAAATGGAGGCTTCCATATGAAATTCTGTCTTATTAAGTGAGAAAATTACTTCAGGAAAGGAAAGACCAAGAGATCTACTATTACTGCATTTTCTGTGTACTACTAGCAAATCAGAAAACTCAAAAGAACCCACTAATAGCTACCTTTTGAATTTATGGAAGGATGAAAAAATAGACGGGATGGAAAGGATAGACACATAAACATTAAGAAGGTATTAACTATAAGAAGGTATTAACTCCTTATTTGCCCATAATTCAATATTTAAGTGCTACCTTTTTTGCTTTATTTTTGTAAGTTAAAATGTGAACATAATACTCTAAACATAAACATTTCTGAAGTAAAAGGTGGGAAGTCAAGATCAGTACAGTTACTTTTGCCTGCACATCTTCCTGTATTTATCATTTAAATACCAGATCATCAGTTAGTCTGTATCACAGGCAGGCATTTCAGGTCAGAGTTGCCTGCAGTGGAGTATTTTCCAGCATTCTAAAATATCTTCCAATTTAAATACCTTCTTCATCTTGCCATGCTTCAGGTCTAACTTCAGTTGCTGGTTCTGCTGCAGCAGCGACTTCATACTGTTCTTCAGTTCAGTCACTTTAGCCTGCAGCATAAACTTATCCTTCTGAGTCACTGACAGGTCTTCCCTCACCATTTCCAGCTCAGACTTGATATTCTAAATGGGAAAAGAGAATCAACATGATACAGGGAAATGGTATAAGAATTCTAGCCAACTAACTTTTTTAATCTTTTTTTCAGTTTCCGGGGGAAACTAGAAAAAGAAACAACACTTAACACTGCTATTTGAAACCAATTTGCCCTGGCAGAAAACCAAAAATTAGATAAAAAGAAGTCAGTAGTCTATTTTAATGGCGTAAGGTCAGGAAATAATAACAGCACAGTCAAAGTAAAAATGTTTACTATATGCAAAACATATAGTAAACAAATCTTTATTACTAAAAAATTTATTTTAAAAAAATCAGTGTAAGTATGCTTTTAAATAATAAAAATATTGTTTTAATTATCCCCATATAGCCATACCAGTTATCCATCAGAATCTCCACCGGCTAGATTAAATACCTGCAAAACAACCTGTATCCCTTCTAACTCCTTGTGGCTGCGCTGTTCACTCATATCCAACTGCTGCTTAAGTGTTTCAATTTCTCTTTCTTTCCGTTCTACTTCCCACTTGAGGTCTTCCACCTACCGGGAAGGCGGGGGGGGGGGGGGGGGGGAGGAAAAAAACAAAACAACTTCAGAATTATCTATAGGGGCAATCAACCACAAAATCTGAAATATTATGTCTCGTGAACCCTTCCTGCTTCTAAGAAAACCTAGCAAAACTTCCATTACAAAATGCTAAATTAAAGACAAATGAAGTCATACAACGCATCATAATTAAGGATAAAAACTGCACATTAACTGTATTTACCTCTTGGCTTACTACAGGCTGTTCACTAAGCTTGTCATCCAGCTTTTTCTGCAGAAGTTGGAGCTGAGATCTGGCTTCTGCCAACTCTTGCTGAAACTGTGATAGCTCCTGGGAACGTTTTTCATCCTCTACTCTGCACAGCAGGATTAACAGACATGGCAGTTATTCAATTTGTCCTTTAATACAAGTACTTCACTGGGTAAGCTATATAACCGTAAATGACATGACAGTGCATGCAACCTGCTTAGTTATAGCTTTGACTGAAAGCTTTGCCAACACATTCACAGCAAGAGTTAAATCACAAGATTTTATATAAGAAAGATGCATGAATGTATCATTAAATAGTGCAAAAAAAATTTCCTTGAGCACTGGTAATAGTCCAGTTATAAACAATAGGTTATGCAGTAAAAAAAACCATCAAACCATCCCCCCCACCACCGTCAGCAATTTTGCCTTTGTTTTAGGAGGAATAAGGTTAACCTTATATCCATTCTCAGAGAGGTCTTAGAATTTAAGAAAATATCTTCTATACAAGAAAACAAATTGAATTTTAATATATTGTAGAATATAGTCAACAATCAAATTCATCCTCTATGCAGTACCTCAGGGATGTGAAAGACAGAAGAACAATATGAAGTGTCAATCCTTACTAGTAACATAAAATAGTTGAAATCTGTGTTGAAACTATTAAAAAAGCAGATGGTGAAGCCTAAATACAGTGTACTTCAGGTCTCACTGAATTACGAAGAGATGCCTAGAGTCCAAACATGCATCTTATGGTCAGGCTCAGCTGGGGTACATTTCAACATAATCCACTTCAGAGTGGCAAACCCAAAAATTCACTGATGTATGTTTTTTTCCAGAGGATTTGTTTTATTTACTATTCTCTAAGAACTTGGACATTTACTTACTGCAGTTTGTCTACTTCAACCTGAAGGGCTTGGACAAGCAGTTCTTTGGCATGTAGCTCTTTCTTGATTTCACTGAGCTCGAGCATAGCAGCTCTGTAATGACGGCGGTTATGTGCTGCATCCGCTTTGGCTGCTGCTTCCTACAAGGAAAAAAAAGATGCAATTTTTCTTGGTTTTATCACCGCAGGTGAATCATAAAGGGAGCTAGACTAAAGGAGTACAAAACAAATAAAGGAGGAAGTTGTGCCGCTGTTAATACATCTCTTTTTGTCTAAAACACTTATTAGTGCTGTGATCCTTATTAATGCTAATGGCAGTTAATAACTATATATAATGGAAGAAGCATGTTTGCCAGACTGCTTCTTCATTGTGAATTTTTGCTTGAAGTATCACCACTTCAGGATATGTCCCATGCATTACAAGTCATAATGGAACTTTTCTGGTAGTCAATGAGTATGCTTAACACAGGGCACAACAGAAAGGACACCTATTGATCTTTCAGCCACTGGCCTTCATGACAGAGACCCTGCAGGAAAGCAGTCTATTATAAAGCACAGACTTTGTTTCAAGCTACTTTTCAAATACTTCACATTTAAATCACCTTTTAAGTAAATAAAACAAAAGATGAGATGTTACCTGCTTCTTAAGATCTTTAACTTTCGACTTTTCTTTCTCTAAGGAAGCCTGTAAAGCTTGAATAAGTTGTTGCATTTGCTGATCCTCTTCCTCTTTCCGCTTTAGGACTGCCTGAACCTGTATCACATCACGAAAACAAACACACATTTTGCGCAGGCTCCCTGCAAGACCAGAAATGCTAGTACAGGAAATATAAACACAAGCCAATGCAGGGAAACTTCCCTCTGCTGTTCACTGATAGGTTAAATGGTAGCTCATTGCCTATATTCCCATTTGCTTATGCCCCACGAATATATTACTATAGGCATAAAAATCATTCATCTCAATGAATCCATACGTAACAGTTTGTATGTTCCAACTAACTTAGATGAGCCACATTTTCACTATTGCAAATATGTTAGTGCGATTTGTTTTTTTCCAGAAGAAAACAGCTCTATTTACTGCAAAGTTCCATTTCTGATCTCTTCTTCCTGCTGTTACACAACACACGGGAGACCCCGTTCTGAAGAAGGTGCACTAAGTTTGTGAAGATGGCTACATCCTGTTACCAGAAATATGAGCCAATTCCTCTTTTAAGATATTACATCAAAAGGTCAAATACCTGCAGATTCAGTTGTACCAAGTCTGCCTCTCTTTTTGCTAATGCTGCTTCTAGGATATTGTTGTGCTCCCGCAAAGCGGCATTGGACTGACTAAGACCTGTAAGTTTTCCACGTTCATGCTCCAGCTCAAGGGCCAACTTCTTATTACTTTCTTCTAAACGTTTTATCTTCCTCCTGAAGCCTCTAGATTCCTGAAGCTATAGCCACAGAAAAAAAGACAAATCAAACAAACAAAACCAAACAACTCCAGATTACTACCACATCTTGCTTTCCGAGAGTGGAATTTCTTTCTTTTTTAAATGAACACTTCAAAATAAGTTCAGTTAGGTATTTTTTCCTTTTGGAAAACTAAAATTCATGCTAGAAAGCAGAATCCAAGAGTACTGTTCAGGTGCAGATCAAGAGTAGTTGATATGTGTAATTTTTTTGTGCAACTCTACAACTGAACACCACCACCCTGCCCTCAAAATCACTGAGCTTCCATGACTCCAAATAGTCTCAAACAGATAATCATTCATGCATCCTCACCATCTCATGACCACACACAGCTGTTAACTAATACAGGAACTACTTTTCTCTCTCATCATCTTTTCCCCTACACAGCAATGATTCATGAAACCATGAAGAACCAGCACAGTGCAGCAAAATTAGTACGTGTCACTGACACGACATTTCCTGTGTAAGATTCTAATTTCCTGTACTGCTGGAATAAAATTATGGTACTAAAATTTCTCCCTGCCTCTCAGTCATGTTTCACTGTCACCTTCCCATCTACCATTCAAATTCAAGCAATCACCTCATCCTCAAGTTCCAGCACTTTCTCTCTGTATTCTTCAAGCTCCTGGCTGGTAAGTGAAATCACTTCTTGCAACTCTTTCTCCAGCATCAACTTACTGCTGCTAACAGCTTGCAATTCTGTCTCCAGAGCTTGAATTCTTTCCTAAAGACAAAGGGATCACAAGCATGATTAATATATCATTCATCTACCAGCAGTAATTTTGTTTTTGTTGAAAAGTCTACTTCTCTATCAAATATTAAATGAGGTGCTAGTGCTTCACGTGAAGGTCCTGCTCAGAGCCTTCCACCCCTGCATCCAGCTACTGCTCTTAGTGTATTTGATATCTTGCTCCAGTGGTTCAAGGAATTGGATTTTCCCCCCAATAAATAAATTTTTTTATCATCGGCATGACATATATGAGTAAGGTATGGCTACCCTGAAAAACTTTTAACTGTCAATGAGAAAAAAAGCAGTAAGAATTAGAATTTTGGAAATTCTTCAGATGCTGAGCCTTTAAAATAAAGCACAAAAAACCCACCCCCAAAAACCCACCAAAACCAAACACCACCACCCCCACCACCACCCCCAAACAAACCAACCAACAATAAAAATTAGTAAGGAAATCTAGCACTAAGCCTAATCATCCTCTTGAGCTTGGATTACAATTGGTAACCTGAAAGATACGAGAAAAAAAAAAAACAAACCACAAAACACACCACCAACCGAACTAAAGCCTGTCAAATCACCTCTCTCAAATGTAGTTAAGGAAGTTCTCAGTGCTTAGAGCACCGATACCATGTTTTTATCTAGCTTTATATTCCAAATTTTTTCAACACTTCAGTGCAAAATAATATTTCAAGACTTCTATTTAATAACAAGATAGGTCTATCCTTGTACTAACAATGTTAAAAGACATCTGCATACTTGAGCAATCTGGTTGTTTCCACCATCAGTGATTTGTGCTTTTAGTTTGGTCAACTCTGCTTCAGCAGATTCCTTTGCAGTGAGAGATTCCTGTAGCCGACGACTAAGAATGCCGACTGCATTCTCATAGGCTTTATGTTTTGCTTTCATCTCTTTCTGAGCACTTGTCAGATCTGACCCTAGACGCTTCATTTTCTGTTTCTGCTCAGCAATGGCCCTGGAGTGAAAGGAAAAACAAAACGTCATGTAAAAACAAAAACTGCCTGAAAACAGTTCTGAAAGATTAATTTTTAACATAGTCCAACAAAAATCAACATCTACTTCTCTCCCCTTGCCCTAGCGTCACCCATCTCATCAGAGAAAGCCATCAAGTTGGTAAGGTACAATTTGGCCCTTTGCAAGATAATACCTTTAAGACTCTTGATAACATTCTGAAAAAATACTTAAGGAAACTAAGCCATCTTTGTCAGAATTATTAAAACTTCAACATGAAGGAATATATACTACTTTCTCTAAAAATAATACAAAATTGAGAGTAAGAATCCAATCTGATCTGAGATCCTTGGTGGATATATCAGGTATCATAAAAACCCTGTCATCACCAGTGGTGGGGGTGGCAGGGAAAGTTCTCATGAATGCCAACATTCTAGCCAGTCAAGGCTAAAATTCAGTGAAGGGTAATTAGGATTAGCTCCAATATGTATGTTGTATGGCAGAGACTGATGGTTAAAAGCCTAAGTGTATCAGAGGAGAAGCTACAACTCCTGTATAGCATGCAACCAACACTTTGCCCTGAATATGACTCTTACGACTCTCTGACTATTTAAGTTTCCCAAATGAAAGACTAAGGAATAGGAAACAACTGATTGCTAAAAAGGTGAATATGAAAAACAAATGCTGTAGTTCTTTTGTCTGTGATAAAAGAACACTTACTTTTTTGCTTCTTCTTGCATTTGTTCTACCTGTTGTTTTAACGCCTCATTTGCCTCAGCAAGAGATGCCATTTGTTCCTTATCGAACTGCAAAGACTTAATAGGAAGGAAAAAAGCACCCGTGAGAGTAAGAACAAAACCATGTTTGCTGTATGTTAGATTATAAAAGAATAAGCATGAAATTTCAAAATTACTTCCATCTCTAAATAGAAACTGTTCCAAGGTTCTCCACTTCCTTTCTCTTTCTCTTTTATTTCTTCTTTAATTCTTCCTTCTGTGGCCACCACTATAACATGTATGAACAGAGTTCTATTTTGATCTTTGCTATTAGATGGAGTTCACTTTGGGACCAAGGAAACTGCTTCCTCATCACACCTCTACCACTCCTATAGCATGCTTCTCCCCACTTACTTACATGAGAGGTTAATAAGCAATCATGTGTTTACAGAATGTTGGTAGTATATGCTCAAATGTATAGACAATATTAAAGATGTAACCAAGAACCTTAACTCACAGGTGGTCTGTTTGTGTAGAAAGTTAATAAAAATAGCAATGTATGCTGGATGTAACAGTCTTAAAGTTCAAAGCTTAATACCTTCCATACCTGTAGGCGTGTTTCCATATCATCTCGTTCTTTCTGCACTGACTGAAGATGATTTTCTATTTCCATCATCTGCTGGTGAACCTGGGATACTTCCTTCTGTAGTTTTGAATGTTCAGATTCAAGTGACTGTTTTTCAACTTGAATTTTCACTAGCTCTCGTTTTAACTCTTTCACTTCTGAGTCCAGACGCTTCTTTGTAGCTTTCAGCTCACTAATCAGCTGGTCCTTAGAACTTGCATCTCTTCGATAAGCTTCCACCATGACCTAGGACACAGGAATTTCAAGAGGACAATGTCACCTCTGTTACAACTTTCTAAACTTAAGAGTAATTTATTATAAAGTATTTCTGATATTCTTTTACTCTGGGAGAAGAAGGGGGTGTCAAAGAATACAAATCAGCATCATCTTCTGTAAAATATTTACTCTAATAAGTTCAAAGACTTTTATGTAAGCTCAGATATCAAATACCCCTGTGTACCAGCAGTTCACAAAAAAAAACCCTGAGTAAGAGTGTTGATGGCCATATGGGATACTCTTCACATTCTTTATGTAACTGCAGTAATGAGATGCTTTTTTTTTTTTTTTAACTAAGCTAATTGTAAAAAATTAACACTCCCATGCACAAAATTAATAACTTTTGCCATGAGAAGAGGGCTTAACTATGACTGACACTTTAAACAGCCTTCCCAAACTTAAACCTAACAAGCTAAAACAACCTTTGGCATTAGGTTAATAAGCAATCAAGCAGTAAATTAATGGTGCCACCCTATACATAAGACACATATACATGCAATACAAATAGCGTATCAATTTCAAAACTGTGTAAATTCAGAATAAAATTTGCAATAGATGTTTTGCAAATAATTACCTTCCATCTAATTACTGAAGCTACTATAATTTTTCAAAGCTGCAGGAAAACCACAGAATCATGGAATAGTTTGGGTTGGAAGGGACCATTAAAGGTCATGTAGTCCAACCCCCCTGCAATAAGCAGGGGCATCTTCAACTAGATCAGGTTACCCAGAGCCCTGTCCAACCTGACCTCGACATCTATCTCATCAGATATTATAAATATCAAATATTATTATCAGTTATTATAAATTAACCTGAAAAATTGAATGACCCTGTAAAGTGGTCTGTGGTTTCACAGAATCACGAAATCACTAAGGTTGGAAAGGACCTTCAAGA